GGAGATGACGATGAGCTGCTGCAGCTGTTTACTGTTCCCGTCGGCCCAAAGACCTTAAGCGAGCTGCGGAAGAGTGCCCTGGCACAGCTGTTATCCTCAGCAGCAGGTGCAACAGCAGCAACAGCAGCAGCAGCAGCAGCAGCAGCAGCAGGAGCATCGCCTGCTGACTTTCAGATAAAGGCATTGATGCATTCGCCGCGATCGAGGGGGAGGAGCCGTCCCCTCTATCCTCTGCATGCATTTGGTTCGTTTTGTCTCCATGAAGATGCAGCAGCAGCAACACCAGCAGCAGCAGCAGCAGCAGCAGCAGCAGCAGATGCTGTTGCTATCTCTTGGGCTGTTGACTTCTGTCGCCACCCTCAGGCTTCTGCTGCTGCCAGCAGCAGCAGAATACACAAACATAAAAAGCGCTGCGGCCTTCTATGCAAGAACGCCTGGAAGAGAGCGCGGCAATACAACTTCTACAGCAGCAGCAGCAGCAGCAGCAGCAGCAGCAGCAGCAGCAGCAGCAGCAGCGGCGATGGGTTTGTTAAGGGCCTGTCCATTTTCCCCTTTAATGCTGGAGGAGAGCAGCAAGTGCTGCTGCACCAACACCCAGAGCAGCAGCATCTGCTGCTGCAGCAGCAGCAGCAGCAGCAGCACCGACCGCTTCTGCAACAGAGCCCGCTGCAGCAGCAGCAACTGCCGCTGCAGCAGCAGGCGATGCTGCTGCCAGCACCGATGGGGCAGCATCAACCGCTGCTGCAGCAACACCCCGAGCAGCAGCTAATGTTGCAGCAGCAACACCACAACCACCACCACCAACACCACCATCACCTAGAGCTGCCGCAGCAGCAAGAACAGCAGCAGCAGCAAGAACGGCAGCAGCAGCAAGAAGAAGAGATGCAGGGATATGCGCTGCAGCAGCGGAGACGCAGAGACAATGCGCTGCTCCACCCAATGCAGCAGCAGCAGCAGCAGCGGCAGCAGCGGCAGCAGCAGCAGCAGCAGCAGCGGGAACACCCGCAGCAACTGCTGCAGCAGCAGCCCACTGAAAGGCAGCAGACCTCCCTACATCTGCCAGGGGATCGCAGACCCCAGACTGAGGGCACAGCAGCGCAGCAGCAGATGCTGCAGCAGCAGCAACAGCAGCAGCAGCAGCAGCAGCAGCA